ACAAGTTCGTCGGCACCCTACCCCAGGATCACTCTAAGGGAACAGATGCAATGGCCCAGGACGGAAATCAAATATGCCAGGGAAAGTAGGTCTACTCTGCATTCGCTGATGAATCCTGCCTTCTATGCCTCCCAACGATTCCATTACGATCTAGTTTTGAGCTCCCTGCATCCTTCTACTCATTAAAACTCAAATCCTGCCCTGCTTTGAGCCACGGAGACCTCGCTATACTCTTCAGACCTAAGAGAAAGAATGGAGAAGACACTCTCCCTTCAGTGCATCTACCATCAGGGAGATCCATACCACCGTCTCCTGGAGCTCTAGAAATAGTGCTCAGCACAAGAGGTGACCTCACATACATGCCGCTTCTGGCAAACTCCTCTCGGGCAGTGGTGGCACAGCAGGATGCAGAGCCGTCTGCCAGCACTCAAACCGAATCATCCCAGCATCGCCCCAGCAGCCAAGCCTTCACGTTTAATTGCAGTGTTGGCACTTTTTGATAAGCAAGTGGGTTTTAGGTTGCGGTTTGGGCACTTGGTCTCTAAAAGGTTCACCACCACTACTCTAGGCGGTACACGATTAGTTGCTATTTTCTGGCTGGATTTTGTGTGTATGTGTGTTAGGGATTGAACCCAGGACCTTGTTTGTACAAGTAAGCACTCTACTACTAACCTACACCCCCATCCCTTGAGACAGTCTCTACTAAGTTGCCTAGATGGCCTTACACTTGCAGTCTTCCTGCCTCAGCCTTCCAATAGCTGGAATTATAGAAGTCAATATGTCAATATGTCTGATTCTGGTTGGGTTCCTCTTAGGAAATTGTCACCACATCAGTCAAAAATCCAACAAAAGCAAGTATTTCTTTTTTATATACCTTCTATAACGCCTATCTTCTTCCAAAGGCTGTCAAAATGGTTAATATTTGACAATGTGGTGGAGACAGACCAAGAGTCCTACCAAAATGCTTGTCTTCAGAAAATATGAAATTTATTATTTCATAAAACAAAGCCAACAGCTCTGAGAGGGTTGCCTCCATCACGGATCCTCCGTGTGCTTAAACATCCCATCCTGGGACAACAGATTCAGACCAGCACAGACATTTCAGCCTGACTTTTCAAGGCACTGTACCTGGTACAGCCTCGAGGGCTAAAATGCATTCAGGTCAAAGTCACTCCTTTGGTTCTTAGTTGCTCCTGGGTGGGTCTCACTTCTAGCTTGACCTAGGCAGATGGGGTGGGTGGAGGAGTATGGAATCTGAAAGACTAGGAGAAAGTGAGAAAGGTGGATGGCGGTGGGAAGCTACGGTCACATTTGCAAATCCAAAATCATGATTATTCCTTAGTAGGGTTTTGGTGTGTTTTTGTTTTCTTCGGGACTGGGAACCGAGGCATTACATGGAACTAATCCCCAATACTACAAAAAAGAAAAAGAAAAAGCAGGGCATGGTGGTATATGCCCGTAACCCCAGCTGAGGCAGGAGAATCACTGCGATTTAAAGGCCAGCCTGGGCTACGTAGTGAGTTTAAAACCAGCCTGAAAAACTGATGCACCGTGAAAAGGTAAAGGCTTTGGAAGCTGGCAGATGAAAATTCTGGGGAAAAAAAATTTTTTTAAGAGTAGGAAATACTTATTGAGGGAAAGAGAGCTTCTAAGAGATAAAAGGGAACCTGGAAAGTGGGCTGCCCCTTCTGTTGGTGTTTTGAGACAGGGTCCCACTATTCACGAAGTAGCCCAGGCTGGCCTCAGACTCGCGATGATCCCGTCTCAGCCTGCCAGTACCGGGATTACAGGCGAGTGCCGCTACACCCTTCGAAAATTCTTAATCTTAGCTTCACTATTCTCTAATAAACGTAAACATCCTCCAGCTGTACTTGGCTCCTCGGGAGAACCCCAAGCGCCCATGCTTACCCTTGCTCTGTAAATGACCTCAAATTCATCTCCTCTAAAAAATCCCTTTTGTCCCATCGCTGGCATGAGCGGTGTCCAACCTCTTGTTTACATGAATCTTTCAAATACTTGCACACACAGGTCACATACCCCCTCAGGACTGCTTTGTCTGGGTTAAACATCCCCAGTTCTCGTAACCACGCCTCGCAGACATTTCCTCACCACTCACCAGTGTAGCAACTCCCCCTCCCCGCCCCAAACTAATCTCGGGCCCTCTTACTGGAGAGCTGGGCGGAACCATAGACAATTCATTCGGGGTCCCAGGTGGATCTGGAAACGGGGGGGGGGCGCTGGGAATAGCCTCGGGGTCCCCTGCGGGCTGCGGTCGCACAGATCGGAGAAGACGGTTTCACGCACCCCCTGCCACGCAGCTGCACGCGCAGCCCGCTCTGACACAAGCACACAAACTGCACACCGGCCGTGCTCGGAACTGTTCGCCTCGGGGTCTGGGGCAGGCACCCCGGCCCCGCCCGACTCCTGGGCTCCGCAAAACACCTGCTGGACCTATTGCCTCCGGCGTATTTACAAAACCCAGCCGCTCCCAGCTTTCTCGGAAACCCCCCTCCCCGCCGGGAAAACAGCCGCAGACCAGAGGATGGGTGGGAGCCCGGCAGCTTCCGCCCGCCCGCGGCTCCACGCGGCGCTCACGAGCCGGCGCAGGCGGCGCGGGGCACCATGGGAGGCGCTCGCGGCACGCAGCGGCGGGCGTGCGGCTGCACGTGAACGCGGCGTGCTGCGCGGGCGGGGCGCGCGGTCTGGCTCGTGCTCCGCGCACCTTAGCCAATCAAAACGGACCGCTCCTCCGGGGCCCGCCCCTTCCGGCCGGGCGCCCGCGTGTCCTCAGATGACCTGAGGGAACACTCGGCGAGCGCCGGCCAGCGGCGCCCCACCAACTTCCGCGTGGGTGGAGGAGTTGAGGGGAACCTCGGCGGCATTGCCCGTGCTTTGTGTCCCGCCCTTTGTCCCTACCTTTCGGGCGTGATCCTTGGTTAGTTAGCTACTTTAGCACGCAGAAGCAGTCTTCGTCGCTGTCCCTCACCTGAGCCCAAGGAGGTGTGGGTCGACAGCAGTACGGACAGTCTATGCAGAGCTTTTTTTTTTTTTTTTTTTTTTTTTTTTTTTGCCTTATCACTGTTATTTAAGTGATACGTGAAATCTTGCAGTGATTGAAAAAACAAAGTGAACCTGGTGGTATTTCCTTTCTGTCTTCCCTTGCCTGCGGGTACCTTAAAGCCCCAGGGTATGTGTACACCCTCACCTCTAACTGAAAGTGCATCTCCTTTGTGCGGGGCCATCGCTGATGGGGAAGTGTGGGGGGGTGCTTTTTGTTCTTTGCAGTGCTAAGAATGGAAACTAAGTCTTTCGCACCTGCTATGCTACCACTGAGCTACATCCCCAGCCTGTTTTTTTTTTGTGTTTTTCCTAATTAGGAGCAAAGGAAATTCAAGATGAAGAAACCAAAAATGAAATGGAAGAAAAAAAAAATATGGAATCAGAAGAAGAGTTTCATGCTGGTGGGCTGGAATAAGATCAGTATTAATTTCTGATTTTTAAAAACATGTTTCCTATCTCTTATGGACCTTAAACCAGATCTTAGAAACAAAGACATCCCAGTAGCAAGAAAGCCCGAGTTGTGGCTTCTAACTTCTATTCTGCGTTGAAAGTAAGCAAGCTCTTCGGAGGAGTAGTTGATCCCAAGGCTGACACTGAGAGAAGTAACAGACAAACCTAGAATGACCAGGAAGTAAGGAAGAGCTCGAAAACTGAAGAGGTGTCAAAAAGTACACCAGCTTGAAAGATCTTTTGGCCAATTTTGTAACAATTCGAGCATCAAGTAATTCAGGAATGGGCTATAACACATGGAATAATTTTTTAAATCCCTGAATCCACACTGATACTATAACGACTATCAATGATACTATTACTAATGAAATTAAAAGTCCTAAAGCGTTTATGGGCAGGAGAACTCTTCCTTATAATAGAATGCTAACTAGTGGCATTAAAATAGTTCCCCTCTGCTTAAAGGCATGTCTCCTGGATTGGGTGTCTTTTCCTTCTTCAAAAGGCCAGAACACAAAACAAGAACTTGGGAGAGTCAGGAAGTGTGTGGGAGAGTTCACAGCTCAAGAGGGGAGAGATTTTAGTAAATGAGTTTGTAAAGAAGGGCAGATTCTGCAAACTCTGAAATCTCTGTGATGCCTATCTGCCATGCCATCCTGCCTTGGGGCCAGCCAGTGATGGACTGAAACCTCTACAAACTGTGAGCTAAAGAAATCTTTCCTCCCTTAACTTGTGGGTGTTGGATAGTTTGTTTCAGCAGTGAGAAAAGTAACTAAAACAGAATTTGATACAAAGAATGGAGTTGGCATTGTGACTACCTGACCATGTGCTTTAGGAGCCTTTGGAACTGGCTTGGGGAAAGTGTAAAGGTTCGGAGATGATAGCTGAAAAAGCAGCCCTGGAATGCCTTAAGCTGTACTTGATGGGCAATTCTAGTCAGAGTTCAGAAATGGTCCGGTAATCAAAACAGTTCTGGTAAAGGCCGGGCTCAGGAGGGTTCTGCTAGGAAGAAGGACTGCAATGGTGGTCCGACTCCAGACAGTGTGGGTTATGCCTTGGCATAAAGTTTGTTTGCACTTTCTTGTGTCTAGAGACTTTGCCTGAGACTGAGATTAAAGTGGCCAACTTACTGTTGGGGGCTTTTAACCAGACCTATGCTGAGAATCCAGGGCAGAAAATCAGTAGAATGGTTTAAAATATTGAGTTTGGCCAGAAAGGAAGCTCCAGTAAAGCTGTGAACTGCAAAGATAGAACAGAGGAGATCTCGATTGCTGAGAAGGAACAAGAGACTAGAAAAGATTGCCTGAGGGCATCACAACAAGCAACAGGACTCTTTGCAGCCTCAAAATTGCAGACGTGAAATATTCTGCCTTGAGAAGAGAGCCTGTGTGCCAACCTGTCCTCACACCCAGCCAGCCCAGGGCCCCGAGATCGTTAGATGGAACAGGTTCCATCATCACCCAGGCTAGGAGGGAAGATTCCCTCGTGCTCACCAAGCAAGGCCTTGTCTCCAAGTCTTCTCCTATAACGCTGCATGAAATTACCATCTTCAAGGCCCTCTTTTGCTGTCTCCATGCCCAGCATGTTGGCCAGTCAGTTGTTCCACTGAACTTGCCACGGACAGGGAAAAAACCAACACCACTGCTATGTCAGATCTGCTGCAGTGTCTCCAGTACCAGTTTTATCAGATCCCTGGGACCTGGCTACTCCTAGAAGTGACAGGAAGGTCAAGGAAGGAGCGGTGTGGTCGTTGGCCTGGAAGAAACCCTTGTATACTGTTCCTTTAAGCCAGTTATCCCTCTTGACTTCATAGTGCCTGAAGGGATGGAGGCGACCACTCACACACGTAAGTGCTCAAGAGGCCTTGCGTGGATGAGTTCCTGGGGGGTGGGGCTCGAAATACGTTCTCTGCACCGCCGGCCTGATCAAGTATGCCTAACCTGTGATGGACTTGCTGGCCTAGTATGGGGCGCTCCAGCCCCGCCTGTTCCATGAGTCCAGGGCTGCTCTTTCGATGACCTCAGCCCCCTGGAGAGGGACCTGAGGAAAACACTCGTCTGGGACATTGCCGGCTTCCTACATCTTCCACCTGGAGAATGCAATGCCTTGCAGTCCTGGTTCGATGACATGGCAGATAAGGAGTTGCTCAACCTGATCCCAATCTTCAAGGAATGAAGCAGAGCAGATGATGTGTACACCAGCCTTGGGCAGCTGTAGACCTCTTAGCCTTCCTCCTTCAAAGCAGTGTCATCCCCAGGAGGGGCCTTTGCTACGCTGTGCCTCTCTAATCAACCTGACTGATGGAGCAGAAGCTGGACCGCCTCACCAAGTGCCGCCTGGAAATAGAGGTGATTAGAAAGAGCTATGGGGCAGGTTCAATGCCAGGTGTGCAGATCACACCAACAATAGCCAGAAATGCCTGTTCCAAGTTGGGTTCCCAAGACAGGGGTGTGTGTGTGTGTGACAGACAGACAACTGACTGACTGATTTACGAAGAATCGTGGCCCCAGGGTGTTCAGCGGGGGAGAAGCAAAAAGATTGAAACTATTCCCAAGTTACTCCATCTCCTCTCCCGTCACCCTCCAAGCCACTGAGCATTACAGGAACAGACTACTGCAGGCTCTGTTGCCAGACCATGGCCTTTCCTCAGGGTTGGAAGGTCTGTGCAAAGGAAAAAGGAAGTGGCCCAGAGGCTGCCTTTTGGATGCCCCAGGCACATGCCTTTCTGAAAACTTTCTCCAGCTAGCTGCTCCAGACAAAAAGATGCCATTTCTGGGAAGATGATGATTTGTTTCCAGAACCCAATTACATTGCTTACTACCCAATGACCATCAGATCCTGTGACCCAAAAGTTGCCCTTGCCTCCAGCTGGGTGCCTACCTCCTCTCTGTGTGTCTTAGTTACTTTTCTCTTGTTGCTGAGACAAAATGCTTGACACCCAGAGTTAAAGGAGGAAAGGTTTATTTAGCTCAAAGTCTGCAGAGGCTTCAGTCTATAATCGGTTGGTTGTAAGGCAGGGTGGCATGGCAGAGGGGTGTCACGAAGGAAAAATAGTTCATGGCAGGCAGAAGATAGCAAAGCAAGCAAGGGACCTTAACAGCTTATTTCTGCCCCCTTTATGCTCTATATAGGCTATGGGGATTAGGGCTATGCCAAACCAATCAGTGGGCTGATTTAGTGATCACACACCCTTAATCCCAGCATCACGTACTCTAGATCCAGCCACCTCTGAAATAGGCCCACCTATGACTGCATAGGCCTTTTGTGGGGACATCTAGACATAAACCATAACACCATGTCTCCCCAGGGTTTGGGCAGTAGGCCTGCCTGCCTCACCACCTGCCATAATCTGGATCCTGCAGTGAAGGTGGTCTCCCTGCCCTGGAAGAGGATATATGACTTATTTCCATTCTTTTGACACTTGAAATTTCAAACATGGAGCATTGGGCCTGGTTTGTTTCTGGCAAAGCTGCGATCCTGGGTCTGGGATGAATGTTGGAGGTGCTGGGGTTCAGGGGAGGGGTAAATCTCCAAAGCGTGAGTGTGCACCCTCTTGGCTCATAGATCACCTGAGCTTCTTTCTATAAGTCTGCTCTTTGGGGACTCTCTGCTGGTGCCGGTGCAGGCACTTTTGTTCCAAAGGCTAGGATGGGTGCTCCAAGCTGCCCCAGCCTCTCCTGTTGCTTGGACCAGGTTCTTTCTTGTCGCACCCCCTGGAGCCCGGCCCTGTGCTCTGCCAGCTCCTGTCTTCGTCCTTCCTGGCTGTCACTCTTCCGCTCACTGGCTCACAACCCCTGCTTTTCCAGAACTGAGGGGAACAGGTGTTCCTACTATTTGGTTTGCCAGCCTTCTGCCCCCAGTAACAAGAATGAGAGAGGCCCTCCCAGACCTGCACTCTGGGTGTCTCTGGTTTTCAAAGATTCTTCATAGTGAATGCTTAAAAAAAAGTCACAAAATGTAAGTTTCCCCAGGGTGGAAAACAAAGGGCAAAGTGCTGCTGTCACTGGGACCCTACCTCAGCATCACTGCATAATCAAGGCCTCCCCTGGGGGCTGGGTGGGGTTCTCTCCTCCTCCCTCATCCTCTGGGATGGGAGGGAATTCCATCCCCACCTCTGTCTTCCCTGGAGGTGGTATCACAAAGCATGTGAATTGTTTCCTGGAAAGGATTCATCCTATTACCCTGTTCAGCCTCTACACACTAGATCAGCATCAGAAACCAACCAATTTGGGAAAAAACAGGTGGTAGAGCAGCAGTTCATGGTTCTGAGTGGTAGCTGGCTAGCTCTTTCTGGAGTGTTGTGTTCCACTTTCCTCCTTGTCCCAATGTGGGCGGCCTCGTATATCTTCGCTGTCACGGAAGTGACAGATGCCCCGACATTCCTGTAAGCCTTTCCCCAGCATCATCCCTGTGGCTATGGATCCCACCACAGGTGAAGGGCAGGAGGCTCCAGGAGCTAGCCAGGAAGGCCATCTCCTAAAGGAAAAAGGGTGCTCAGAAACTAAGACCAGCTCTGGTTTCAGACCCGGGTCCTGGCCTCCACTGCCATTCCACTATTGGAGGAGGGGTGTCTTTCTGAAGCCCTATCCCGAGTCTTCACCCATTTGGCCTGGCGAAGCTTCTGTGACTAAGCAGTAAGATGTTGGAAGCTGATTGAGTCCCAAGAACCCATTCTGCCCTTTTTTGGATGTCCTTGTTTTCATAGAAGGAGGGAGAGGCTGTGCTACCCCATTCCTATCAGGCTTATCCAAGTGTTTGGACTGTGACCCACGACCAAAGACTAAGACGGCTTGGTAGAACTGAGCCTGCTGCTTCCGCATGAAGCCCCAGCTTCCCAGGCCTTGCCCCTATCAGAACCCCACCTGCTCCCTTGCAGGACTTCCATGCTCCATTCTCCCTTCTTGCCTTTCCCGGAGAAGCGATACGGCCAAATCTAAACTGGGCTGGACCATGTCAACCAGAGTCAGCCATCTGCTCTCTGCTTTCTAGTTGCATAGTGTGTTGGGGCAAGTGACAACTCTGAGGCCTGCTCCTGGCAGGGTTCAGGCAGACTTACGAGGAGGGCAGGACAGAGGGCTGCACTTCCCCAGTCTATGCGAGGGCTTGCCACCAGCCCAGCCTTGGGGACGTCTCTGGTTTGTCTCAGTGGCCACTGTGCCTGGTGTCAGCACCAACTCAAGCCCTACCAGGTTCAGTTCTTCAAGATCCCTCTTCAGAAACACAGTGGGTCTCTCTGATTGGGCTTCTCAATCAATAGCCTGATGTTCTTGTCCCTCTTATCGGGGGAGCTTCGGACATGATCGCTCCATTAAAGGGTCAGACAAGGGTTTCCATTCTGTGCACTGTTGGCCCATGGGTCCCCTGCTACTGTGAGTTTGCCTTCAGTTAACCCGGGGCCTTCTATTTAAGCTCCCTCCCAGCTCCCAAACTTTTTCTGTAAATGTGTAGATTCACCTCTGTTAACAGTGGCCCAGAAGCTTCTTTTACTAAAAATGTGGGTGTCTCAAGGGGGTCACTCCCTGGGAAGTGGGCCCCATGCAGTTTTGGTGCCTCTCCCCTCTTCTGAGCCTGCAGCCTCATATAGCAAGTGCCCCAGGCAGGCCAAGTATTTAAGAAAGGTAAGCCCACTTTCTACTTGTGGCCTTCAGTGGGTTACTTAATCATTCTTGTCCTTCAGCTGCCATTTTTTTTTGTAAAGGAGCGGGGTGCCTGGTTTTGCTTTTTTCCTCTTTTTAAATGCCAGTAAATATCTGTATACTCAACCATAAGAGAGGATGTGGGGATTTAGCTAGCTGCCCATGCTCCTTTCACTTGGCAGGAGGCGCTTCTGGAGCAAACCATCCTCTTCATCCTGTGATTCTCTCTGCCTGTAACTACCCCAAGTTTGCTGTGATCCCCTTTCAAAATGAGGTCTGGGGGAGGAGAAAGTCTGCTTCCCACTGTGACTGGGCTATGGGATTCTGACTGCCTTGTTTCAGGATTTGATAATTTTGTTATATTCAAAAACTTGAAAGATAGGATGCTATTAAGTGTCTGTTTATGTTGCTGGAATATTTGTATTTCTTACAATTTATTAATAAAGGCGGGTTTTATAAACCTAAAAAAAGAAAGAAACTAACCAAAACCATTTTAGAATAAGTGAAAACCCACAGTCTCTGAACATAAGAGCTGGGGGAAATAAGCCAGCTAACTCTTTCATTATGTAGATGAAAGAATTAAGGCGCAGAGAGGTAAAGTAACTAATCTGAGGTCATAAGACAATTTGCACCACCAGGACGAGGGAAGAGATCTTTCAAGAGAGATCAAAGCTACAAAGGGAAATGCTAATTATCCTGATTTTATCTGTGCACTGTATGCATATTCCACTAATGTACAACTACTACATGTACGCCTAATTCTAAACCAAGATTAATAAACATAAAGTGAGCATGGGAACCATCTCCAGACGTTGGTCCCCTCCCTTCTGGCTCTTTTTTGCTTTCTTTCTGCTTCCTGGCTGCCAGGAAATGAGTAGCTTTCCTCAGGTTCTGGGTCTACCACGATGTTTCTGCCTCACCACAGGCCTAAGGGCAATGCAGCCCTGACCACAGATTATGCAA